TGTGTGACATTTTCTTGATCCATTCATCTACTGAGGGGCATCTGAGTTGGTTCCATATCTTAGCTATGGTGAATAATGCTGCCAATAAACAGTTGTGCTGGTAGCTTTAGTGTGGCCTTGTTTGTAATTATTTAGGCAAATGCCTAAAAGTGGGATTGCTGGGTCATAGGAGAGCTCTATGTGGATACTTTTGAGGAACCTCCATACTGCTTTCCAAAATGGTTGAACAAGTTTACATTCCCACCAACATTGCAGTAGGGTTCCCTTTTAGCCACATCTACTCCAGTATCTGTTGTTAATAGAGTGCTTGATTATAGCCATTCTTACTGGGGTGAGGTAGAATCTCAATGTTGTTTTGATTTGCATTTCTTTTATGGCTAGAGAGATTGAGCATTTCTTCATGTGTCTATGGGCCATTCTTATTTCCTCTTCAGAGAAGTCTCTCAAGTCTTTAGCCCACTTATTTATTAATCGGGCAGTTGTTTCTTTGAGGATTTGTTGTTGGGGGATATAGCAAACAAGATTAATGAAAAGCCCATGGACTGGGAGAAGATCTTCACTAGCCATACAACAGACAAGAAGACTTCTTTTGACCCAAGGTCATGAGCCTTTGCTGCTATCTTTACAAAAATTTCATAGTTTTAAGTTCTTATGTTTAGATCCTTGATACATTCTGAGTTAACTTTTCATATATGATTTGAGTAGAAGTCCCAATCCTTTCTTTTATCTATGAGTGTTCATTTATCCCAGGACCAGTTATGGAAAAGATTATTCCTTTGTGTGTGTATAGTCTTGGTACCCTAGCTAAAAGTCAAGTGGTCAAATCTGGACATAATGATATACATGTGCAATCCCACCACTTAAGGAAAAACCAACTGACAATAAATGTAAGGATTTATTTGATGACTCTTAATTCTATTTCATTAGTTTTAAATTTATCATTAAACTAGTGCTGGATAGTCTTGATTACCATAGTTTTGTAGTAAGTTTGAAATTAGAAAGATTGTTTTGGTTTTCTGGATTCCTTGAATTTCCACATTTATTTTGAAAATTAGTGTGTCAGTTTCTGCAAAGGGAAAGACAAAGCAAGCCAACTGGCATTTGGATAAGTTTCAGGTTGAATCTATATGTGACTGTGGTATGACATTATTTTATCTTTTTATTATTAATCTAATTTATTCGTGGTCAATGTGATAATAAAGGCTAGTGCTTTATATTTAATTTGGAAAGTGATTGGGCCTAATTAAAAATATAGAACACACCAGCACTGATAGCTTACACCTGTAATCCTACCTACTCACCCAGCACTGATAGCTTACACCTGTAATCCTACCTACTCAAGAGGCTGAGATCTAAGGATTTTGGTTCAAAACAGCATGAGCAGAAAAGTCCATGAGATTCTGATTTCCAACTAACCATAAAGGCTGGAAGTGAAACTGAAGTGATAAATCATCAGCCTTGAGCAAAAAGCTAAGGGATAGTGAGACCAAAGGAGGAACACAAAGGCACAATGCCTTTGTGCCCCTAATCATATAAAATAATATTTACCAAAATGAACTTCAGGAAATGGATGCAAGAGTTATTTTTTCTTTTTGTTTTGCTTGTTTGTTTTTCTATCTTTGCGTGGGAAAGGGGGCTCAGAAATGAAAAAGGGTGAACAAATACAGCAGTGGAACTCACTAGACACTATGTTGGAAATAAACTATACAACTTGGCTGGGGAGGGACAGGAGTGAAAACCTGTGAGAGAGCAAAGGAAGGGGTAACACTGTCTAAAAAGAAAAATTCACTTATTACCTGACTTATGAAATGGTAACCTCTCTATACATACATCACCTTTATAATAACAATAAAAGTATTTAATAAACAAAAGTTATGGGACAGCGCCCAGGCCCAGAGTTCAAGCCCCAGTACCTGTACACACAAAAATATCTTTCTATCTCTAGATCATTACATATCTCTGTATCTGTATAAGATCTGTATCGATATAATGTGTAAATCAAAATACTAGCAAATACTAGGTATCTGATGCTATGCTCCAATCTTTCCCTGACAGTCTTCCAATGTTCACTGTGCTCAGGAAATTCACCATCCCACTCACTTTACTGCTGGAAACCATCATCCTCGGGTAACTTGTTTTTCCTTCATTCCTCCAATGTGTTTATCTTCCCACTCTACTCACTGTGTTATTTTCTTCCACTTAAAATCTAGTCTTCTTACCATAGTAGTTACATTGCCAGTGGCAATACCTAACAGAAAAATAGTTCATTTACTTAAAAGTGGTTAAATGTTTGCATAGTCCCTGAAGGAGTTAATAAGGGAGTAAAATAATTATTACTTAAAGTCAGACAAATACCACCTGTTCCTAGAAAATTATAGATTAATAATTAGAAAACTATAAAAGAGAAAAATACCACTTCTTAACAGATCTAAAGTATTTTGCTGAGCTCAATAGAAAATATAGTGGTTTTGGTATAGAGAAGAAAAAAAAATCACACACACATATCCACACACATATGACATCTCTCTAGTGAGATTAGAGAGATCAGTTGATAATCAGATGCAGAAAACTGCTTAAGAAGTTAAATAAATTTGATGAAGCATTGGCTGTTAGATTTTTAGCAATGAAATCACCAATGTCCACTGTCAGTTTCTTTTAAAAATGTAATTCTCCTAAACAGGTGCCAGTGGCTCACACCTATAATCCTAGCTACTCAGGAGGTTGAGAGCTGAGGTTCACAGTTCAGAGTCAGCCCAGACAAGAAAGTCAGTGAGACTCTTACCTCCAGACAACCAACAAAAAGCTAGAAGTGGAGCTGTGCTTCAAGTGATAGAGCTCCAGCCTTGGTCAATAAACAAACAAACAACAACAACAACAAAAACCCTCAGGGACAGTGCCCAGGCCCTGAGTCTGAGCCTCAGGACTGGCACCAAAAACAAAAGAAAACAAAAAAACCGATATAATTTTAACTTTCTCCTCTCCTGTCTCCCTTACTTGTCTTTTTCAGGAAGCAGTACTCACTGAGCATCATTGTCAGTGTCTTTGCCATTGTGATTGGGGCCCTCATAGCTGCTGGGTGAGTCTTTGCACTGTTTCTGCCCAATGACATTTCTTGTGTCAATTTCTTGTGGCAATAGCCACACCCCAGCCTTGCTTTTCCATTTTCCATCTGATTGTGATAGAATTGGGCAACAAAGAGCCTATAATCTATTGAAGACTGTGGCATCTGCCTGAGACCCTGACTGGGTCTCACATTGTCTTGAATACTCCTGAGACTAGAGCAAGAAGCATTAGTGGACATGAATGTAGCTAAGCTTTACAAAATGCAATGTGCCATTTACTTTTATTATGGTATATCAATTCAAATTTTTTACTTATGAAGCTCTTAAGAGTTTTGATTAAAAATTGAACAGATCTAACTGAACACTGGTGGCACACTTCTACAATCCTAGCTACCCAGGAGGCTCAGGTAGGAGGATTGGGGTTCAAAACCAGCCTGGGCAGAAAAGTCCATGAGAGTCTTAATCTCCAATTAACCACAAAAGGCCAGAAGTGGAGCTGTAGCTCAAGTGGTAGAGCTAACTAGCCTTAAGTGAAAGAGCTTAGGGACAGCACCTGGGCCCTGAGTTCAAACCCCAGGACTGGCAAAAAAAATTTAAAAAAATATATATAACAGATATGAACTGGGAGCTTAGGTCAGTGGTAGAGTGTGTGTTTAGCATGCACAGTGCCCTGTGTTCAAGTCCTAGCACCCAAACGCCTCAAGTACCAGAAACCTATAACAGATTTATAAAGCTTTTGTGTATTTGTTTAAATATTTTGCAGTACTTTAGTATTTGATATTTCCAGTGCTGGAATGCTGCCATTAGATATGTTTGTGTATTTTAGATATAAACCCTCACTGTAGCCTAGGACTGCTACCTTAATTATTCACATATGAGGGCAAGAAAGCAGGCATTCTGACTCTGTCTTTTATAGTGTGGTGCTTAATGTATTAGTAACTCCTTTTCCTCCTATTATGGCTTAGCTCTGCTGCCTTGTTATTTCTCAGCTTCTCTGTGCTTCAGTTTCTTCATCTGTAAAATAAGGATGATCATAGAAAATAAGTTTGTTTGGACAAAGATTGGAGGAATTTCAACATTAACTTGTTTTATTAAATCATTCAGACCCAATAGTCTAGACTGTTCATTGCATATTAAATAAGAGTTTGGCTATGACGCCAAGGTGTTTGCCTGTTTTTTTTTTCATTTCCTCATTCATATCTCTACAACTAGGGATATGCTTTTAAACTTCCTGTGTGTCTTTTACTTAGACTGTAATACTGGAATTAACATAGCATCCACCTCAGAGGGGCATTGTGAGACCCACTTGAGATAATTAACACAAGGACTTGGTACAAGTTCACTGTCAAGCTCAACAAGAACAGTGAGCATTTAGCATGCAGGCATTGTTCTGGCACTGGGAATCCAACAGTTAAGAAAAATAAACAGCAGGCCTGTGGCTCACACCTGTAATCTCTGCTACTCAGGAGGCAGAGATAGGGAGGATAGTAGAGGTGAGCCAAGGCAAAAAGTTAGTGAGACCCCATATCAATCAGCAAACTGGACAGTGGTGGTACATGCCTATCATCCTAGCTTTGCAGAAGGTATATTTAAGAGGAATGTAACCAGAGCCCAGCTTCAGGCAAAAATATAAGACTCTACTTGAAAAATAACTAAATCAAAAAAAAAAAGGTGGGTAATAGAACACCTGTCTAACAGTCACAAGACTCCGAGTTTAAACCTTAGGACCAGAAAGGGAGAGGGGGGATTGCTAACATCTGTCACTATCAGTGTGCTGCATCTTAAAAACCTTTTTTAGGGTTTTTTGTTGTTGTTGTTTGTTGGGGTTATTTTGGTCTAACTTAACACCTGGAATGCAATCTCCAAGAAGGGAAGGACTCTATTCTATTCTATTCTCCTATTCTTTTCTTCTCCTCCCCGCCCTCCCTCTCCTCCTCTTCCTTCCTTTGCTTTCCTTTCCTTCCTTCCTCCCTTCCTCCTTCCCTCCATCTCTCCCTCCCTCTCTTCCTTCCTTCCCTCCTTCCTTCCTTCCTTCCTTCTTCCCTCCTTTCTTCCTTCCTTTTTTCCTTCCATTTTCCACCCTTACTCCCAGGGATTGGGTGGCACCTTTTCTCCACTTGATCTTTTCTGTTTATTTAAACTTAAAAGAAAAACTGCAGACAAGGTATGTTTAACAGAGCTTCACTGAGATAAGGAATTATTCCCAAACCTAGCAGCCACAGAACCTGGTTAAACTCCAAGAGCTCCCTCCTGCAGCATTTGGCAGGCAGAATTGTAATGGCAGGAAAGGGGGGTTGGTGGAGGCAGGGACAGCTTGACTGTGGTGACATCTTATTTGAAGCTATCAGCCTCCTGCAGTTGTCTGCAGGATTGTCTCCTAGGGTTGGCTGTTAGTTTGTAAGTTCCTTATGTAGATTGTCTCTATATATGTAGATATAGTTGTATGCACACATAACATATTTGTATGTACACAATATATATTATAAATATGTATAATGTATGTATTATATGTTATACATATGTTAATACACATATATCTATATACAGTGTGTGTGTGTGTGTGTGTGCGCACGTGCATAGGAAGCACACATGGAAGCCTCAAGAAAAATGTTTTAATTTATATTAAGATTTGATACAGTTTGGCTTATTCTGTTTGGCTAGAGATAATGTTATTTTTGATATTGAAAAATGATAAACCCCAAAATATGCTACTTTGAGATCAGTTTTATTTTGAGCTAAAGGCAACAGAGAATCAACGGATGCTAAGAGTTTGCAGCCTGTCTCTTCTCTGCCTCAGTGCTGGATATAAATTTTCCAGGAAGAGGAGGTCAGCTTTTTTCACTGGAGACAGAGATGGCACTGTGCTTAGTCCCTGAAATGAAACCCAAATAACATTACCTTGCTGTTGTTTTCCTTCACATGCTTCCTAGTCACTTTCTGCGAGTTAGGTGTCTCTGGAGACCATCTCTCTTTTCCTTTATTAAGATGTTATTTTATAGCTCATGATCTCATCTCCTGCACATGCAAAATATTAATGAGTTTTGTATCCCTTCTCTCCTACTAATCTGTCTTTTGTCTGTTATGTTAGCAGACCCTAACTAGATGGAAGTGGTAGTACATGTCTATATTCCCAGCAGCTAAGGAGGTTGAGCCAGGAGAATCAATTAAGCCTAGAAGTTGGAGTCCATGTTGGTTAAAGTAGTGTGAGATATTGTCAAAGGAAAAAAAGAGAAAGAGAGAGACAGAAAAGAAAGAAAAAAAATGAATGAACCCCCCCCGTCCCCGCCCCGCCAAAAAATCTAGACCTACAGCTATTGAATCTAAGAGTAGATTAAAGACAAGTTGTATTTATGAATTATGTCACAGGTCTGGTACTACCTATATATCAATCAGTTATGATTCTCTCAACCCTATGTCCTGTCTCAATCAATGTTTTTATACCAGTATTATTTAAAATGGGAGTTGAGAGCCAGGGACTGGTGGCACATGCCTGTGATACAAGCTATTTATGAGGCTGAAGAAATGAAGAACACAATTCAAAAGCAGCCCAAAAGCCGGGTGCAGGTGGCTCATGCCTGTAATCCTGTATCTATTCAGGAGGCTGAGATCTGAGGATCACAGTTCAAAGCCAGCCCGGGCAGGAAAGTCTGTGAGACTCCTCTCTCCAATAAACCACTAGAAATCCGGAAGTGGCTTGTAGCTCAAGTGGTAGATTGCTCGCTTTGAGCTGAAGAGCATAAGAACAGTGCCCAAGCTCAGAGTTCAAGCCCCACGACCCACCAAAAAAAAAAAAAAAGCTGCCCAAAGCAGAAAAGTCTGTGAAACTCATATCTTCAACTAATCAGCAAAAAGCCAGAAGTGGAGGTATGGCTCAAATGGCAGAGTACTAGCCTTGAACAAAGAAAGCCAAGTAAGAGTGTTAGGCCCTGAGTCCAAGCCCCAGTACTGGCACAGAGAGAGAGAGAGAGAGAGAGAGAGAGAGAGAGAGAGAGAGAGAGAGAGAGGGAGGGAGGGAGGGAGGGAGGGAAAAATAAAGGAAGGAAGAAGAAGGAAGGAAGGAAGGAAGGAAGGAAGAAAGGAAGGAAGGAAGGAAGAAAAGAAGGAAGGAAGGAAGGAAGGAAGTTGAAGAGGTGTTCCAAAAATCACAGGGAGCAATGCCCCTTATCTGGGGATATCTGCCTTTCCCTTTTGATGGACAGGTTCTGTTTGGGCACCAGGTACAGTTGTCACTGTCTCCTATTGTCTACTTGTTCTGGTCACCTCCAATTGTGCCTCTTGGGCTGTACCCGATAGCTTATGTTCACTACAGTGAGCAGAGGCAGTGCGATTGGGCAGGTAAGTCATTTCCCTTGGAGAAGTCAGGGCTCAGGGATTGTGATGCTGCTAATCAGAAAGGGATTTTCAGTTGAAGGAACACAGTTAATGTCCCCAAGTCTAGGTCTTAAGCCAGCTGAAGCCACCTGCTTGGCTGGTCTGGTTTGTGCTGGGTGGTAGATGCCTTAGTCCTAGCATAATTTGGAAGAGGAAAAGCTGACATGCTTTGAGACCAAGTTGTGAGTTTCTGAATAATCCTTTTTCTTTTATGTTCTCCCTGCCAGTTCTGACCTTGCTTTTAACTTGGAAGGCTATATTTTTGTGTTCTTGAATGACATCTTCACAGCAGCAAATGGAGTTTATACCAAACAGAAAATGGACCCAAAGGTACCAGACCTTCCTTCCTGTGTTTCACAGCTTACACATGTGACCCCAAAATGACAGGAAAAATGAAAAACAAAATGGTGTAGTTGGCATGTAACTTAGCTTATGTAATGAGATTTACTAATTTCTTCTTAGCTTTGTTACTTCCAATCTTGCAAAATTGTGGAAATTAGGAAGGGAAAAGGTGTCACTGGTAGATGCAGTCAGAATATATACATCACATAATGTTTACATAAAGATACATTTAATATATTATCATGTAATATGTAATTGTTATATACCCAATTATTATGTAATTATATAGTATATTATAAATCTATGAATATTTATTCTGTCATTTTTACATACAATAATATACAATATATGTGTATTATGTAATATAATATAAAATTATATTGTGTAATGTTATAGATTATGTATTATATGTTATATATTATATAATGTTATTTAATATATACATTATATGATTCTATATGTTTATATTATATATAATATATTATGTTGTATATATTGTAAATTATATATAATATGTTATATATAAGGTATATTCTGACCAGACCTTTACATCTTACAAAGCATATATTTTTCTTTTACCTGCATCATCAATTACTATGGAAGCCAGAGGGCCAAATATTTCTTCTGAGGATACACTAGAGCTGGAGTCTGGGGATGTAGGCTATTGACTTCCTGGCCATAGTGACTTTGAACTCTACATATTCAAACCTGTTTCCTCATCTATGGTGTGAGATGACAAGCATCATTTGTGAGCTCCTCCAGCACTAACGGCCTCTCCTGAGCACAAAGGACTGCAGTAGATGAGATTTGCTCCATGTGGCCTCCTGTCATGGGGGGGCCCCCAGTGCCCAAGCCCTCACCCAACCCCAGCTGTTGTTGAAAGCTGCAAGGATGAGCCAAACATATGGTTCTTTGTTCCAAGTCCTTTGTGCTGTGTGAGGGAGTTCTCTCTGACTAGACAGGCTTATTTCCATGAGCTATTTTATTTATTTTTGTCGGTAGGACCATTTGTTTCTTTTTAATGGTGACAGTGTTACAAAAACAGGTTGGTTGCCTTTTGTAAAAATCACAATATGTCACCCTTTCTTGGTGGAGAAGGGTGTGACTGCTTTAATGAAAGTAAATATATAATGCTGCTACTTTTTGATGAAAAAAGCAGATGCTTTAAAGGAGTTATTTATGTTAACCTATTTGATCTACTTAATTTTGTTCCAGATTTCTCATTTTGAATACTATGCTTTTAAATAAAAACTTCAAACAATTACAATGCTAGAGGTAGTAGAACCCTGGAGGCTTCCATTTTTCTCTTTGGTAGTTGTAGTTTTGGTGTAAGACAAATGTTTATTCTGAAATCACACTATGATTGAAACAAAACATTTTACATGCAAAAATTTGCCAAAAATATTCCAGAATTCATAGTCAGAATGCATGTTCTAACCTCATACAAATACATAGTTTGCAACTAGTTCCAGGAAGTCTGATGCTTTGTATTTCTATAATTCAGTACAGTTTTGTTTGTTTATTGCAGGAGCTTGGAAAATACGGAGTACTCTTCTACAATGCCTGTTTCATGATTATCCCAACTTTCATAATTAGTGCCTCCACAGGAGACCTCCAACAGGTAAGCTCATGGCAGTACAGTCTTACCATCTTTAAGCTAATTATTTACTACTTCACACTTGAAATAGAAAGTGTGACGATGGCTGGAATGGGTGCTAGAAATCCAAGTGGGCCTGGTGGCATACTTCTGTAGTCTCAGCTACTTAGGAAACTGATACCAGATTGCTTGAGCCCTGGAGTTCAAGAACAACTTTGAACAAAGGAACATTTGCTGTCCCTAATCATACCTTTGGCATCATCCTTACATTGGCATTTAGTTTTAGGCACATGGGAAGAGGCCAGAGTAATGACAAGAACTTGAGAACATTTTGGAAAACAATAAACAAAATCTGAGTTTGAGGCTTTTGTGTTCATGAGAGGACCCTGAAATAGATACTTTGAGAGAAAGGGCATTTTGACTACTTTGATTATTTGTTACTTAAAAAAAATTGTGCCAATAATGGGGCTTGAATTTGAGGCCTTGTACTCTCACTTGGCTTTTTCTGCTCAAGGCTGGTGCTTTATTATTGAGCCACAGCTCCACTTCCAGCTTTTTTGGTAGTTAATTGAAGGTAAATGTCTCATGGACTTTCCTGCCTAGGCTGGCTCCAAATCACGATCCTCAGATCTTGGCCTCCCGAGTAGCTAGGGTTACAGGTGTGAGTCACCACTGTCCAGCTTGGAGAAAGAATTTTGGTAGTTTAAAAACTGACTTATTCTTGTTTTTTTTAATGGACATTTTTAAACATATACGGTCTCTCAAGGATAACCCAGTGAACTGTCCAACCCTTTACTCTACCCCAATACTTTTTTGGTGTATTGCTCTTCTCATTATATCAATTTCTATCTGCCCCAACTTCCCCAGGAGCATTTAAAAAGAAGTCATAGACAGCATGCCATTTTACCTGTCAACCCAGGATCCATGACTGAATTGCAAAAAGCTATTTTTTTAAGTATTTGCTCTGCTTACTGTGGCTACTGTACATTCGTGAGAGACAACTAAAATGATATGTTAGTATAGGTGGATCATCTCTCATCTGAGAATCAGAAGTGCTCTAAGCCAAGTGTGATGACTCACACCTGTAATGCCAGCACTTGAGAGGTTGAGGTAGGAAGATCATGGGTTCCAGGCTAGCTTGGGAAACAAAGGGAGAGCTTGTCTCAAGCTAGCTAACAAATGAACTAACTAACAAACTAACTAGAAAGTACAGCTTTAGAAAGAACAATACCCCATTCAATAACAATACCCCTGGAAGTAACAGATATTCAAATCCCAAGAGCCACAGATGGGACTGAGTTTACCCAGCAGGTACAACCACTATGTAACAAGGTAGAGACAACCTTTTCTCATCTGTACATATTTCCCTGCATGAGGGAACAGCAAAAAAGTTGGGCCATTGCACTGCCAGGAATGAATGGCCATTTCCAGTCATTCCCAGTATTTATTAAAATCCACCAAGAAGCGCCAATTTGTAGGAAGAGCCCTCTGTTTCGGGTTAAAGTGTAAACACTACTAATTCAGAGCATCATAGGATAGAGCAGGGCAGATTTTCAAATGAAAATAGTTTTCATTTTTTACCTACTATCCATCCATTTTAAGCTGAGTCCATCAGAAATATGACACAAGCAAAATATTCTTAATCAAGTGGTCCTATCGATTTGTTTTGTTTCATTATTATAAAAATGTCCTTTTCTTTTGAACCACTACAATTTATTACTTCATAAATTCTGATGTTTTTCTATCTATCTATCTATCTATCTATCTATCTATCTATCTATCTATCTATCTATCTATCTATCCATAACTGTCCTTAGAGTTACTAGGAATAGGGCTGGGAAGGTGGCTCAGTGGTAGAGCACTTGCCTTGCATGCATGAGGCCCTGGGTTCGATTCCTCAGCACCACATAAGCAAAAAGAAAAAAGCCGGAAGTGGCGCTGTGGCTCAAGTGGTAGAGTGCTAGCCTTGAGCTGAAGAGCTGAGGGACAGCGCCTAAGCCTAGAGTTCAGGCCCCGCAACTGGACCAAAAAAAAAAGAGTTACTAGGAATAGAAATCTAGAAGCTCGGGGCTGGGAAGGTGGCTCAGTGGTAGAGCACTTGCCTTGCATGCATGAGGCCCTGGGTTCGATTCCTCAGCACCACATAAGCAAAAAGAAAAAAGCCGGAAGTGGCACTGTGGCTCAAGTGGTGGAGCGCTAGCCTGAGCTGAAGAGCTGAGGGACAGTGCCCAGGCCCAGAGTTCAAGCCCCATGACCAGACCCCCCCAAAAAAAAAGAAATCTAGAAGCTCTTACAAATTATTTGAACTAAAATCATGGATTAAATTTTCTCAGAGTAACAATTTGATGAATACCTATTGAATTTTTGATATGGTATTTCCAACTTACAGTTTATTGGAAAGTAGCTCTATCTGAAGTCAGAGAACATCTGTACCAGCTGCGCAGTTATGATTCATGTCAGTATTCTCACCTACTTGAGTGGCTGATATTAGAATGATTGTGGGTTGAAGTCAGCCTGGGCAAAAAGTTTTTGAGACCCCTTTGAAATCAATAGCTAAGCATGATGGTATATGCCTGTCATTCTATCTACATGGGAAGTATAAAATAGGTCTGTGATCCAGCTACAAGTCCCAGTCAGGAAGCAAGATCTTATCTCAAAATAACTAGTTCAGTAAAAGGACTAGACACATGGCTCAACAGTAGAGTGTTTGCCTAGCAAATGTGAGGCCCTGAGTTCAAAACTCAGTACTGCTCTTTTTTAAAGAGCACCTATACTTTACTTTATTAATTCCTAATTTCTGGAAGAATATCATCCTCCTATTTGGTTATGTGGTGCTAGAATATCCCAGTGTTTACCCTGTTTCATCTCTACCACTTGAATGTTTCTGAAGATTTCAAGCAGATTTTCCTTTAAGTACCTTAAGCCCAGATGACTTCTAGTCACAAAAATTCCAGATGAATCTATATATTATTAAGGAAACTCATAACTAGAAAAAAGAATACATTTACAATTATAAGAGAAAGCCTTCTATAAAATGACAAACCACAGAAATCAAAGTTAAAACATTATTATATTTTACTTAATTTATTTTTGTGCCCATTGCTGGGGCTTAAACTCAGGGCATAAGCACTGTCCCTGAGCTTTTTTGCTCAAGGCTAGTACTCTACTACTTGAGCCACAGCTCTACTTTTATCTTTTTGCTGGTCAATTGGAAATAAGAGTTTCATGGACTTTCTTGCCCATGTTGGCTTTGACTAGATCTGGTCCTCAGATCTCAGCCTCCTGAATAGCTAAAATTATAGACATGAGCCATTGGTGCCTGCCTATGACTGTATTTCTTGTATTACAAGAGATACTAACAGATACAGGGTGCACACTGTAATGAGTAAGACAAATGTGAGATGAGAGCTCTGAAGGGGAGAGTGGTGAAACTTTCCCTCCTCACATTGTTCTATGTTCCTTGGCTCAGGATGGTTTCTTCTCCCTTGGTCACTTTTGATCATGGTAGAATTTAGATTATGAACTACTTGTGATAAGGAAGTGAATTTAGTTACATTGGTATAAAGTTGCATGTTACTTGCCAAGTTTGGATTAATTGCAATGAGAGAGCTGAATATTCACCCCTCTTATGAGAAAGAAAATGGATATGAGGAGAAAATGGATGAGTCATTTTTCCTGCTTGATGAAGACCAGGGGTGAACAAAGAGTGTGTGGAATGTGTGCGTGACTCATGGCTTTGGTAATTCAGACTTGGACTTTGGAGCTACACAGAAGTGGGTTAGGAGCAGTACCTTGATTCTAACCTTGGAATGAAGCCAGAGATGACGGCTCCTTTTCTTAGCAGTCAGGCCCTTGGAAAATATTCAGTGGGTGGACTTTCATCATTTGAATCCTGGCACTAGGTCCAAAGTACATTTGGTATAGATTAGGAACAAAAATTAATTTACAAAAGCTATGTGGGAAGTGTAAATATATGGTCCAGGCTGGCCTACTCAGAAAGCAAAATCCTATTTTTAAAAAGTAACAACAAAAGAAGCAGGATGCCAGTTACTACTGCAGCCCTCAATCCTAGCTACTCAGGAGGCTGAGATCTGAAGATTGTGGTCTGTAGCCAACCTGGATAGAAAAATCTGTGAGACTGTATCTCCAATTAACCAGCACAAATGCTGGACTGGAGGCATGGCTTAATTGGTAGATCACTATCTCTGAGCAAAAACATTGAGCAAAGTGTGAGGCCTGTGTTCAAGTTCTCATACCAATACACACACACACACACACACACACACACACACACACACACACATACACACACACTCACATGTACAATGTCTAATGATGAAAAATTTAAATATAACCAGAAACACAGAAAATAGTATTCATCAACAGTTCCAACAATCATCAATACTCAATGTATAATTACTATATATATATCTGTGTATGTGTATGTGTGTGTGTGTGCATATTTTTCCTTTTTGAGACAGAGTCTTACTATGTAGTTCAGGCTGGATCCTTTTGCCTCCACCTCCTGAGTGCAGGGATTTACAGGTATGTACCGCTATATCTGGTTAATGCATAGTTGATAGAAGTGAGTGAATATTACTGATGAATCCATGGCAACAACATGTAGCAAGATTGTATTAATTGGAGGAGGGAATTCTATTTTAATTATTTAAAAATTTGGAGTTGTAAAAGATCTAAGTAGTTTTAAATGTACAGCATTACTTAAATTTGGCTGGCTAATAAAGTATTGCCTACTATAAAACATGAAGAACTTTGGTTTGATCCCATTATTGAGCAAGCACTTTCATTCAGTCTTTTGTTACCTTAAAATAGAATTTGGATGCAAGCAATGGACCAATGAATAAAATACTCCTTTTCACTGTTTCCTGCCACTTCAAGAGGATAAACTTCTTGGAAAGCAGAAAGTGAGTCTTTGTTTTAGAAAGTGCTGTGATCTGAACTTCACACACTAATAGGCAACTTGACCCACTTGACCCACAATGCCCCCATCTGGTTTTTTATTTAGTAATTTTCCAAGTAATATCTTGTGTCTTTACCTCTGGCTAGCTTCAGACTAGGATCCTCCTACCAGTGTCTCCAGTATAGCTATGACCACAGTGGACCTAACTCATTCATTGAAATAGAGCTTGCTAATATTTTGCTGGGGCTGGCCCTGAACTTTTATCTTCCTGGTCTTTACCTCATTAGTAGCTGAGATTATAGGCATGAGCCATGATGTTCAGTGAGCAGCTGTGCCTTAAACTTCTCTATCTATATCTTATCCACTCCAACTACTTAATTGTGTTGAAATTAATAAATATCTGATTTGCTTATTCATGTTGCATAAACATCATGTTCATAAAGTTCAAGTTTCAAAGTTCATGTTCATAAACTTGGAAATCATTTATAAGCTTAAACTTTTCTTGCCAATATTATTCCTTTGGCAATAAACTTTCCTCTAAGATTATGTATCAGAAGGTCAACTCAACTCTGGTTTGGTGACTACAAATTAGTAAAGATTTATAGAGCTTTAACAACAATAGTCATCATTTTGCACTTGTCATCAGTGAACTCCAGCTTCATTCCATCTATAACTGCAATATTATTAATCTAATCATTAGTTTCTTTTTCATTATAGGCTACTAAATTCAACCAATGGAAGAATGTCCTGTTTGTCATACAATTTCTTCTCTCCTGTTTTCTGGGGTAAGAAACGACAGATAGATAGACACATCTTGATTTATGATGCCATTCTCTTGTCAAATCAAATCGAAATATACCTCTGTCTTCTTTTCTGTGTTCTTAGACCCAGAAGTATAGTCACTTCTTTATTCATATTACCACATTTGCGTATTCAACCTCACATGGATGGAAAGTTGTGCCAGTGCCAACACAGGCAGATATTTTTCTTTGTCATTATTTCCCAAATGACTCAACATAGCAATATTTACACAACCTTTGCATTGTCTTAGATATTAAAGGGGAGAGATGAGCTACAGTGTCCAGGAGATGTGGGAGGCTATATGCCTTTTATATAAAGGATTGAAGATTCACCAATTGGGTGTCTGTAGGGCCCAGGACCCAATACTCCATGGATATGGAGGGGCCACTGTATTGCTGATTGGAACCCATGAAACCTGGGAGCTCAGCCCCCAAAGCCAGGAGCAGGTGCACAACAGTGTTTTGGAACTAGTGCTAATGTCACATGATGTTGCCTCTTGACTTCATGGGAAATGAAGCTGGCTGATATCTAACCTTCAACTCAGTCTTCTTCCTCAGCTTTTCTAGTCCTGGGATAACAAGGGTGCACCACCATACCTAGCTATTTTTTTTTCTGTATTGGGGTTGAACTCAGGGCCTTGAGCTTGCTAGACCCTTACTGAACTACACCTGTAGCTCTTTTTACACTGTTATTTTTGAGATATGGACAAGTTTTTGCACTGGTGTGTGCCTGCGATGTTTTCTGCTTATTTTGGGTTTCCTAAGTAGCTAGAATTACAGGGCCCAAATTCTATCTCTTAAAATCTTCTAAAATGTTGAGAGCAGGTGTGGTGGGTCATACCTAATAATCTCAGCTACTAGTAAGGTAGAAAGAGAGAAGATGGTAGAGGAAGAAGGAGGTAGAGGGAGAATATAGAGGACCGAGGCTGCACCTGAACAAAAAATGAGACCCTATCTGGAGAATAACCTAAAGCAAAAAGGGCTGGAATTATGGCTTCCAACCTCACTAGGATGACAGGCATGAACCAGCATGCTTAGCTTTTATTGGTTGAGATGCAGTCTGGAGAACATTTTACCCAGGCTAACCTTGCACCTTTTTTTCCCCATCTCTCCTTCCTGAGTAGGTAGGATGAGACACTTCATCAAGCTGTATCTTATTTCCTTAAGTGTTACACATATAAGCCAGGCAGCAGTGGCTTACACCTGTAATCCTAGCTATTCAGGAGGCTTATATCTGAAGGTTGTGGTTCAAAGTCAACCCAGGCAGGAAATTCGGTGAAACTTTCATCTCCAATTGAGTACTAAAAAGCCCAAAGGTGGGAGTGGGGGGTTATAGGTATGGCTCAAGTGGTAGAGCACTAGCCTTGAGTGAGAAAGCTAAGGGATTGTGCCCTGAGTTCAGTATTCTCACACATTCACACACACACACACACACACACACACTTACACACATATACACACACTATCTTATAGGCCATATCTGATTATTCCTATAACTTTAGTTCTTGAAAAGCTAAATTGTTGTTTCAGGTATGTGATTCTTGTATTTGGTTACCTGTGCTTGAAAGTATCACTTCATCTTCATCAGTCCTGTGACTTAAAATTGAGAATCGGAGAAACTGTCCTGCATGGGAAAATTGGTTTTGCTTCTGGGCGTAGCCAGAGATTGCAAAATTTGTCTTTTGGGGGGCCTGGATCAGTATCCCTCCCTGCTAGAGTTTGGACCAAGGCTCAGGTTCCAGACAGGGCTCTTCCAACCCAATCCCCACTCTTAGGTGATCCTGTCCTGGGCTGCCCTCCTGTCTTACGGGAGTCAGGGACTGGGGTGGAAGGAGGGTCCTGTGCCTCTTTCAGGACCAAAAATGTCACCAGTAAGGCATCTTTTCCAGGCATGGGATGTCTTGCAGTGGGACGGCCCTGAACAGTGCTTAGACATGTTTTTTGAAGCCTTAGTTAAATATTTGTCATGTTCCCACTTGTTGACTGAGAACATTTAACCTTGAAAGAAATCTAGGCCACATCTGTGAGTCAGCCTTTGTCAAGCCGTCTGTTTTTTTCTTTCTCTTTGATTAAAAAAAAAAAAAATCAATCAACCCTAGCCACAGAAACTCAGACCAGCCCCTTTCCTGTCTAAGCAGCGGTTCAGTTTTTTGTTCTCATGTCATTGTAAAGCTGAAGTGATAGTTTTGTTTCCAGTGTTTCACATGCTCCATCCATGCAATCACCCCATGAAGGCAACCCAGAAATGAGCCATCTGGAGTCAGCCTTCCACAGTGAGGGGGCAGGGAGAGCCCAGATGGGAACTGTCACTTGGGGGGGGGAGGGGGGACTTGTCAGGGGCTTGACCCTGTCTGTGTACAAATCCCAGCATTCTCTCCATTTTCTTGGTTGAAAAACAAGATCAATTTATGATCAGTAGTCATTTTGTAAATGAAAACCTCACAAGAACACAATCATTGGAAAGTAATCAGTGAACATTGTAAAATCATAAACATAAGAAAGCTTCAAGGTTTTCAACTTTAAAGAAGAAAAAAGTAGAGGCCAGGTTTTTGTTTGTTTGTTTTTGTGCCAGTGCCGGAGCTTGAACTCAGGACTCAGGGATGGGTGATGTCCCTTAGCTCTTTCACTCAATGCTTGTGCTCATCCATTTGAGCCACAGTTCCCCTTCTGGCTTTTGGTGGTGGTTATGTGGAGATAAGAGTTTTGTAGATTTCCCTTGCCTGGATGGCTTTGAACTGCGATCCTCAAATCTCAGCCTCTTGTGTATATTATGATTATAGATGTGAGTTACCAGATCCAACTAGAGGCCAGTTTTTTAAACAGGTCATCTGCAGGGGAGGGTGGGGGTGGGGGCTAACGTCACAGCATCAAACCAACAGTGAATGCCTAAATTCTAGAATCAGATGCCCGGGTCTGAGTCCTAGCTTTGCCACTAAATAATTCTGGATTCTTGGGCAACTTAATCTCTCCTCATCTAAGTTATCTTTATTATTATTATTTTTAGTGCCAATACTTAGACTTGAACTCTGTGCCTTGCCCTCTCACTTGGCCTTTGCCCCTCAAGGCTGGCACTTGAACCCCACCTCTACTTCTGGCTTTTTTGTTAGCTAATTGGAAGTTAGAGTTTTGCAGATTTTTCTCCCTGGGTTAACTTCAATTGAGATCCTCAGGTGTCAGCCTCCTGAGAAGCTCAGTTTATAGGCATGAACTACCAGCTCAGTTACCTTATTGTTAAAATCTCACTAGACTCTCATTGCACTCCCACCCAGTTTACACTCCTGAAGGCATTTCACTCCATCCACACTGCATCTACAAACTCCTGACCACATTGCCAACTACTTCCTGACACTGAGCCCTTCACAGTAATGCAAAAGAAAACCCAACTGCTACTTTTTCAACTGCTGCTATACCAATGGGTCCCTAGCATACTTTGTTTTTATAAATTGACATTGTTATTATAGAGGTGATAGACAGGGGGTTACATTTACATGCATCAGGTAATAAGTACATTTCCTTTCCTACAGTGTCATCTGTTCCCTCATTCTCTCCTAGCCCCTCCCTCCCAGCTCTACGCACAAAGTTGTATAGTTCACTTTCATCATTGTCTAGTGCTCTCTCTCCACTGCTGCACTTCTTCACTCTTTTTCCTCAGATTCTGTGCCCTCTCTCCTCCTACAGATACGTATGTGAATATACTGTATATAGGGTAAAGAATACAGAATCATCAGCAGTAGAAATTAAGAGTCCTTTATTTCCATATCTTTGGAGTTTCCTGTTTTTGTTATTATGACTCTATAGTAGAGTTTGAAATCTGGTAGTGTGATACCACTCACATTTTTCTTTTTTGCCCAGAATTGCTTTGGCTATTCTAAGTCTTTTTTGTTTCTTATGAATTTTTGGATTGTTTTCTCTATCTGAGTAAAAATATTGTTGTTGTTTTTGTTTAGGATGGATTTTGTTTAGGATTGTATTGGATTTGTATATCATTTTTTGGCAGTATAGCATTTTCACAATATTGATTCTACCTATCCATGAACTTGGAAGGTCTTTTCATTCCCTAGTGTTATCTTTGATGTCTTTTTTCAGATGTTTTTTGGGGGCTGGGTCAGTTGTGGGGCTTGAACTCTGGGCCTGGGCACTGTCCCTAAGCTTTTTAGCTCAAGGCTAGCTAGTGCTAGCCACTTGAGCCACAGGTCTACTTCCAGTTTTGTGGTGGTTGATTGGAGATAAGAGTCTCACAGACTTTCTTCCTGGGTTGGCTTTGAACTGAGATCCCCAGATCTCAGCCTCCTGAGTAGCTAGAATTACAGGCATGAGCCACTGGTGCCTAGCTCTTCAGATTTTTATCGTTTTCGCTATAAAGATCTTTTACATCTTTGGTTAGGTTAATTCCTAGGTATTGTTTTGAAACTATTGTAAATGGAGTTGTTTTCATGATTTTCTTTTCTGCTTGTACATTATTGGCATATAGAAAGGCCACTGATTTTTGTGGGTTAATTTGTATTCTGCTACTTTGATGAAGTAGCAGCCGTAGGAGTTTGGGGATGTACTTTTTTGGGTCCTTTAGGTATAAGATTATGTCATCTGCAAATAGGGATTGTTTAATTTCTTCTTTCCCTATGTGAACCCCTTTTATGTCCTTAGCTTGTCTTATTGCTCTGGCTAAGAATTCCAAAACTATAATTGAAGAGGAGTTGCCTTGTTCCTGATTTTAGAAGAAATGATTTTAGTTTTTCCCCATTCAGTAGGATGTTGGTCTATCATATATAGCCTTTATTGTTTTAAGGAATGTTTCTTCTATTCCTAGTTTCTCCAAAGCTTTGAACATGAATGGGTGTTGTATTTTGTCAAAGGCTTTTTCTGCATCTTTTGAGATGATCATGTGGTTCTTGTCCTTGGCTCTGTTGATGTGGTAAATTACATTTATTTATTTGGCTTTTTGTTCTAGCTCCTTTGTTTTATCTTTGACTCTTGATATTCTATTT